CTCTCAAGCACTCTATAGATAGATGTTCACCAATCGATTGCACCCTAAAATTTGAAAACCGTAACAGGAAAAAAAAAGTGACACTAGAATAATGTGATGGGGCAAAGGGGCAAAGGGGCAATTAATTTGCAAGTAAACAATTTTTTTAGCAAATACCTAAAATTACGAGTACTTGTATATAACATATACATAACATTTTATAACATAATTTTTATTATTCGTACAAAGCAAGTCAAGTATCAATTATCACTAAAATAACGACTATTTGTCTTGTGTCCACTCATAGTATTTTTGATAATTATTTTGTGTCTAAAACCAAACCTATAAAAAACATTCTAAAAATTTATTGCTTAATTTATTTTGCTTAAAGTAAATCCAAACAAGACTTATATCAAGTGACACTGGAATAATTAATTATATACAACACCAAAACTCCCAAAAATCAAATAGAAATCGAGAGTTCTAGCTATAAAAGAATCTACATTTTTTTCCTTTTCTGAAACACTATTTTATTAAGTTATAAGGAAAAGACTTGTCTGTAGAGCGAGCCAAACATGAACCGACGAACTTATATGAGAAACTAAAAAGTTACGGATTCATGCTTTCTTAACTAAACAATCCGCTGGGACATTGTTAGAATGAGGAAAGAAGCAAAGACTAAAAGATAAGAAAGAGGCTCTATAAAACAAACTACATATACATCAAGTAAATAGTTAATACTGTTTACATATAGATTTTAAGGAGACAAGAAGGTGTGTGATGGATCTCAATCAATGTCTCATCTGTAGTGGGGCTACAGAGTTGACAATTTAGTCTAATCTATTTCATTCGAACACAAATTAATTTGTTATAAAATCTTACCATAAACGCAATGTTTCTTGTTCTGTTAATTTAAACGCAATTTTTCTAGTTATAGTATATTTGAGGTCCTCCAAGAATAGAAACTAGAAACCATGTCATTTATGTATGACAAAGTGTTATAATGATATACTATATCTGATTTTAAATTCATTATTCATTATTTTGGATGTGGAGAATTCAAAATCCATACGAATTATTGGAGTTGTGATTAATTACACTTAAGTGGTAAGACGTCTTACTTCTACTGTTTAGGTTAATGTTGATCACCAAATATTCGTGTTTATTTTCAAATTAAAATCAAAACCAGCGAAAATTTACATTAAACACACCATTGTCACATCTTAAGAGAAAAAAGGATGGGACATATTACGGCCAACATCGAACCAATCAAACGATGTCTATGTGTTGTTTTTTCCACACACCTACACTACACCAACAAGCATGCTTTTCTTTTATCTTCATTTATTATTTATTTTTCATCATATTGATATAAAAGTTAAAAATTAATGTCTAAAACCTTGACTTTGTGAGAATAATATGATGGAATTTGGTGTACCATTTTTCTTGTTGGTGCTACTTATGACTTAACTAAGAGAAAGCATGCGCGCCAGCCTATGAAATTATGAATAAAGGGAGTAATGTTACATATATAAATCACAGCTAAGAGATTTTATATATAAATTGCGCTCTACAACTTTGGTAGGAAATTTTATTTTATGTGGGAAATAAATATTATAACCCAATGTTGAAATATACATTACAGTTCTTTTTTTTTTTTACAGTAATATACGTTACACTCTATGGGAACAAAAATTTAAGTAGTCACATTGATTTTCCCAGACTTGGTTATGAATATTGTAATGAACTGTTGGTTTTTTATATTTTTATACTATTTTCATTCATTGTGTTTCAATCAAGCAAAAAGGTTATATAACTAAAAACAAAAGTGAATATTTTGACTTATATTACGTTTTATTGAGTATTTCAGGGAAATGTATAAAATCTGCTTCTTAAATTCTCACTGTTATTAAACTATTTTATTAGAAATCATGTAAAGACAAAATGATCTGTGATTTAAATTTTGCCACACAAGATTTATTTGTCAATATATTAATGGAAACAAAAATGGAAATTTGTATTCTAATTCTATTTAAACTGTTACAATAGGTTGAATTAAAAGCAAATATCAATTTTAAGGAAACGAAAAAAGTTGTCTTTTGTAAGTAGCTATCAAATTATCAAAAACAATATCAGCATATTAAGTATACAGAGCATAGATCAATTTGTAAATCTGTTTTCTAGATCATATGGTTGATCTTCCACTAAAAGTATAATTTTATTTTTTTCTCTAATTTGGTACACTGTTGATGAGTGCAATAGTTGGTCGGCTCGCTCTGCCGTCCATAACTCCACAGCATTATATATGACTCGGAAAAAATTACATAAATAATGTCTTTTCTTACCTTTAATTTTTTTTAATAATTTTTTCTTGTTACAGCTAATTCTTGAAACTGGGACCGACCAAACATCATAAATCAACTAACTGTTGAACTAGTGCAAACAAAACTAACCAAATACGACGACTTTTATGATAACCAAAGTGATGTTACCTTATAGGTTTATTATCCCGTTCTCTAGCAACCAAGTAGTAAACATACAAAACTAGAAAATGTAAAATTTAATATTAGAAAACGTGATTGGAGATCCTTACACGTTCGTTAGATTTGGGTATAACAGACAACGGTTAGGCTTAACGATAACATCGAATGTTGTTCATTGGCAAAAAAAAAAAAGTAGTCAACAAATCCGTGGCAACGTGGAATGCGACACACTAACAAGTCAGATACAAATACCCACTTGAAAATCACATCGTCCATCACTTTCTCAATAATGAAATGTGTTTTGTGCATGACAGAAAAAACAAATGTTTGTGCCAAAAAATAAAAAAAGAAGTTAAATTATATTGTATTCTTTATGAATTAATAGGAAACCTAAAGTACAATGCACAAATGAGCCATTAAAAGCCCAAATGTGTGTGTATGTGTTTTTTTTCAATTGTTTGTGTTAAAACTTAAAAACACTTCAAACGAAATTGGTAACTATGTTTCACAAATGACAAATACAATTAAACGTAAATTAAATTCGTCACAAAAGAAAAACTTTAATAATATGAAAAGTTAAAAACATTATCATGAAAAGCTGGAATACACCCAATCATTTGATGATAATAACAATTTTGCTACGATTGATATATTTTAAACTATTTCCTCGTAACCTATATTAGAAACATAAATCTTAAAAAGTAATATGAACATGTGTATCGAGTGATAACCTTTCCATGATATTAGTAACAATTTATCAATTCTAAACTGAAAAATTTGAATAAAATTTAAATTCTTTTAGAAAATGTCATACATTGTAAACGCCAATTACTATAATATAGACACCAAATGCATGAAAATTCTTACCTAACTAGTACCTCATTGCCAGATCTGCACATTGCTTATCTTATGAGGAACTTTCACATGGTTCACATGAGACAAAGCAGTAGTACACCTGATAAAAAAATTTCTGTGTTGGCCCAAGCCATTATTAAGCCCAGTTTCGATTCAAACATTTGGGTTTATGTACTCTTTTTGAGTTCGAGTTCAGTTTTAGTTTGAATTTTGTTTGGTCGCTTTATGTTTTCATTATGTTAGGTTTTGTATTGTCCATTCCAAGAACCTAAAAGTAAGAAATGCAATGCAAATTTGACCTAAACATTAATGCAAAATAATGGAAAATTAAGAGACATGAAGCTATAAAGCCAACAAAAATACAAGATATCAGTACGCAAAGGATCTTAAAGACAACTACAAGAAAGACAAAGACAAAAACAAAGGGGCTATGTGAGGCATCATAATAATTTCAAATGACCCGCTTTTTTTCAATTCCTGTTGATGATTTGGAGAAAAAGAAAAGAAGATTCAAGATTTTTTAGGAGAGTACCTTGTAACAGCCCAATCTGTCCACTGATATACAAAGGAGTATGGGCTGAGCCTGAGAGGTTACCTACCAACACTTAGACATTTCTAAGCATTCTTTAGTTGTACTTTTTCCAGATTGTTTTAGAAGGATCCAGAGCCTTGGAGAAGAATTAGGAAAGTCTTGGAGAAAAAGTAGAGGATCTAAAATGATCTAGAGAATCGATCTACACCGTTAGATAAGCAAAAACTTAACAATTCACATATGTATCTTGATGAGATCCCATTCGTTACTTTTCTGATTTCATACATTAACAATTAACATATGTCTCCGAACTTAACGTATTACATTCAGAGCAATGTGGTATCCACTGGATTAAAATTCGACTCTTCAGTTAAAAACTTAAAATAGCTAAGGTAGAGTAGTTGCCCCGCGACAAAAAGAAATCTTATAAACTATAATAATTGGTTCATGTTTGTTGTGTTGTCGAATGGAAAAACATATGAGTATGTCTTTAAAGTTGCATTTGTATGCGACAATAATTGGTTCATGTTTTGTTTTTGCTTTTTTCTTTCATTAGGTTAGGTTATCATGAACTAGAGTATTAAAATGCATTATAACTTTGATGTCAATATGTTTATCTAAGTTTCTAACATATAAGCTAAAATGAGAGTGGGATTTCTTCTTGTGACATGTCGGTGCATGAATTATGTCTACATAAGTTAATGTTTTTATTTATATTGACAATCATAGGTTCTAGCTGTTGACGATAAAAACACAGAAGCCTACCTAAAAAGTCGATAAATTCTCTAATCTGTATGGAATATTAGTATTGTACGAGGATTTGATATTATTCGACTACATAAACTTTCTCGCATCTACGCGTTCTTACCTAACTCATATATCAAAATAAAATATAATATTCCAAATAAAAAATTATTTTTAAAAACGTTTTGTTTGGGCACAAAATGTTGAAGATTTTGGAGAACAAAGAAATAAGGAGGTAAATAAGTGGTTTTATTTGTTCTAGAACCGATAAAAAGAATCAGATATTTAGGATTTACTTAACTAAGTGATTTGTGAATTGTTTTTTTTTTAAGCTAAAGCATCAGTGGTTCTTATTTTATATCATATAGGAGATCTTGTTGGTTTCTTTCTTTTGAATTTATTAAAAAAAGATACTACACGAAAATTTTGCGAGAGGTCATCCATCCTAGTAATTCGCTCAAACACACTGAACTGCGGAGTTCTGATAGGATCTAATATATTAGTGCTAGTACGATTGCATCACAATTTTGTTGGTTTTTGAAGGCAACACATTCAAAAAGAGTAAAATATTTTAGCATCACATTATTTGCGGTATCATCATCAAACATATCAGAAAATCCATGGTCATGTGTGTTAAGTTCAGACCATTGGTGATAGACTTTTGAAACCTCATTTTAAAAGTAACTAAATTTTTTTATATCTTTTGAAACCTCAATATTTGTATATTATCTAGATTTTATGATCCTATTTTGGTGAAGACTTTTAGGGTTTCTACGTTAAGTATATTCAAAAATCCTCAGAAGGCTATTTATCTTAGTTATCCTATATTTTCAAATGTATCACTACTTTGTCTTTAAAAATTTTCCACTACGTTATTTGAAATATATGCCACTAAGATCAGTTGGTCAAATTATATAACCAATTGAGTTTCGACCAAGGATCTAGTTTGGTTATAAAAATAAAAAGTATTAAGCTTTAGTGTGTTTATGTATTTGTGTCAGCATCGTTTAAAAAATATGCATGACGTGCACTGCCTCCTCTTAATATCTTCTTCTTACTCATCTCGTACGGAATATAGATAAAGTAAATTAACCCTAGATAGTGGAAACTGAAACAAAAAGTTGTCAAATGCATTATCATTCGTGAAAGAACGAGTTAATTTCACAAATAAAGTTATAAAATTGTAAAACTAGAAAAGCTACTAAATCTGTTGTCCAAAAAAAAAAGGGAAAAAAGCTATTAAATGTTAGAAAAGAGCTAGAAGGTACTTGCTTATTAGTTTCACAAATATGTTTGTCAACATAGATACGATGGAGGTTTTTACTATAACAACGTACACTTTTTATGGTGACATGGTGTGGTTATAATTTTTCTCGTGCATCTTATTTCACCATAATAATAAAGAAAAGTAAAATCATATGCTATTTACACAAAATAATATCATATCTGTGAGTGGTACTCTTCTTATGCGTCGCCTCTTTTGGTTTCAAAATATGTAACGATATATAATAATGATATGTAGTCATCATTTCTTGGACCCTAATTACTACGATATCGTGAAGAACAAAGTATGAAAACAATCATTATTCGTTTTGTGTAGGTTTACGTGTAAACTGAGAGAAGGACAAATAATGGCAAATTGGAGTAGTGAACCAAACTTATGGTGGGACGACATTCGTACCGACCGAAGATGCTCTAGAATCTATCTACACTTTCTTTTGTCAACAATATATCTGCACTTGTATATGCTAGTGTTATGTGTGTGTCAGTGTGTGTAAATATACATATTCATTCTTGTCGACAGAAAATAAAGCATTCGGAGTTTTATTAACAAAATAACAGTGTCTAGGTAAATAAGCATTTTAGTGGTAGCATTAGAACTGAACACGAAGTGAAAAAGTTAATATCATGATTATTTTGTTCCAAAACTACTAGATAAGTAATTAACAAAAAGAAAATAAAAACTACTAGATAACTAATTAATTTTGTTTGAATATACACACCGCTAGATATATGATATACTGAAACTTTATAAGTTAAAAGTTTGAAATTTTAAAATTAAAATATATGTACCGTTTGTAAACTAAGAAGTGAATAAGATATGATATTACCTAATTTTCACGAAAAATGAAAAAAAAAAAAAAAAAAAAAGACTTAAAAAGTGAAGAAAAAAACTGTGTTTCTTACCAAAACAAAAAATCTTCATTTAAAACTCTAAACTTAAAATTTTATATTTTTCTTAGTAATGTAAATTAAGTTTGTAAATATAATTTTACTATGTATATTGTTACTAGTTTAAAACTCTTGCTATGTGTTTTAAAGTACACAAACTAAACATAAAACTATAGATTCATGTTATAGTAAAACATGTATATATATACAGAAAAAAAAAATAGGGGAACAAAAAAAAAATACAGAATGGATATCTAGATTTTCTAAAATTACTATTTGTGATCTTACTTTGTTTTTTCAATGGATGATATACTTTTTTGTTTCCTTCATTTGGATCATTATAAATATCTAGAATTTCAGACATATAAATACCTAAGGAAAATATGACTCTATAACCAACAAAAATTTATAAATTAAGAAAGTAGCACTAAAAAAAAAAGAAGGTGATATTCTTTGTAATTTATGTAAGGGAAAATCACATTTTTAACCCTCAAAGTGTAACTGGGAAGCACTTTAAACCTCGAAAGAATTCTACTAACACTATAAACCACCAAGATTGTTTTACTAACACTTTAAACCTCCAAACTAACTTTTCTGTTTGCAAAGCTATAAAAAATGATGGAACAATCAATTTATGTTTGTTTAATATATATTTATTTAATTTAATTTAAATTTTAATTAATTTTATTATTTATTACAATTAATAAAAATCTATAAAAACAAAAAAAAAACTTTATTTTCTTCGTTTACTCACTGTCCGACAATGAAATTTCTTGATAAACTGTTGAAACAGTCTTTTAGACTGATCCATAAGCATCTTTACTCAATCAAGTAGATAAATTGGAATCTCATAATACCAACTGAATAAAAAGATGGTGAACACATACAATAAACTGAATAAAAATTTGAAAAATTATGTTCGGACGGTGAATAGTCGAAGATGATAATTTTTTTTTTACTTTTTTATTTATCGTCAAAATCGTAATAAATAATAAAATTAATTAAAATTTAAATTAAATTAAATTAATATATATTACACCAACATAAATTGATTGTTCCATCATTTTTTATTGCTTTGCAAACAGAAAAACTAGTTTGGAGGTTTAAAGTGTTAGTAAAACAATTTTAGTGGTTTATAGTGTTAGTAGAATTCTTTCAAGGTTTAAAGTGCTACCCAGTTACACTTTGAGGGTTAAAAACGTGATTTTCCCATTTATGTAATAAAGACACGTTTAATCCCTCTCAATCTCTCTCTCCCTCTGTTCTTCTATCCTTCCCTCTCTCTCTCCACGTCCCTCTCTTCTCTCTCTCTCCCCCTCTCTTCTTCCCTCCCTCTCTCTCTTGACGCCCCTCTTTTATCTCTCTTCACGCACCCTTCATTTTCTTCCTGAGACTGGAAGGACTTTATTGTCTTTTCATACACCACATATGCTACTCACTTAATTTCCAATATTATGGTGCTATAAATTTAATAACTTTTTCAAAACTGGCTACTTTTGCAAATCACCCAATACCTAATCCGAAGCGGATCTAAAAGATAATATGCCTTTGATAGCATTGATGGCCATAGCGTTGTAAGCGGATGCTTCACTTTACTAAAACATTTGCATATGATTATGAGCATTCAATTGATACTTTATTTGTTATATGTACTATAGACTCTCGAGCTTTTTGATTTTTGTTTACTATCAAACAAATTATTGTTCTGCATTATCACTTCGTGAATGTGTTATCTCCTTTAAGTTGAGTAAAAACTGAATTTGATTTTTTTCTCATACAGGGTACGGTCTGTTTATTTTTAAATGTTGATGAATAAATATGAAGAGCTTTGCAGATATATCTAGTACTATCTCGAGCTTTTGGAGTCTTTGCTTTTGATGTGTTGCGGTTTTAACGGTTTCGAGTCTTGATTTAGTCCGTGTTTTGAGTCATCTATCGTGTCAAAGTCCGTCTTTTGCGTCTTTTCGGTTGTGTCTTGAGTCCTTTGCAGGTTATAGGTGCTCGAGCTGGATTCAGAGCATCTTGTGAGTGATTGAGCCTATTCGGAGCTAAAACAATGGAGAAACGGTACAAGAGATCACCAGGAGCTGGGGATCGATCGATCCAAGGCGTGGATCGATCGATCCCAATTTGTGACGATGAAGCCAAAAGTACCAGTAGCTCAGGATCGATCGATCCCAGGAGGGGATCGATCGATCCAACCCTCGTCCGTCAAGAAGTGATCAACCAGAAGCTCGGGATCGATCGATCCCAGGAGGGGATCGATCGATCCACCCTTTTCGACGACCATACCGGTTTTCCTTAACCGGGTTTATTTGCCTTTTTCTGTACTTGGGTATAAAAACCCAGAGAAACCTATTTTTCTTTGGACGCTTTCTTTCTGCAATTTTCTGAGAGCTCTTTTGTAAGCTACTCCCCTTTGGATTAGAGATTCATTCCTTCTTGACAATTTGGAGAAGATTTCTAAACCTTTATCTCATTTATTCAATTCAACTATGTTTTCTTCTTTATCTATTTGCGTTGTTTTCATTGCTATGTGTGAGTAGTTCTCCAATTGGGTTTTAGGGTTCTAATTAGGAGATTCAATGGATTAATGGATTAACTGTATTAGGAATTCTTATTCTCTAGGTTCTTTGATTCACATGTTCTTAATGCTAGAATAGGATTGATCACCCTGTTGTAGATTCTAGGTTTTTCTATGCATCAAAAGTGTTCGATAGAATGCCTGAAAGAATGTGAATTGAGCAATGTATGCTTAGCCAACGACAGTTGACGTTAGGACGCATTGTGAACTTAATGAACCTGTTTGATAATGCGAATTTGACTAGGAAATTACATGCGAAAGTTTAGTAATCGAGTAGTCAAATTTAGTGATTAATGTCTTGAAAGAGAATTAGTCTAGTTGTGTTCATGTTCGAGAACGGTTCGTAATTATTGAATTCCTTGTCTCATGTTTCCATTGTTTATTGATCTCTGAAATACCCTAATGCCCAATGCCTTTTAATCTTGAAGTTAAATAGTTTAATTAATTTGCATTTTTTATTTTACAATCTGAAAACCCATACAAAACAATCTTTTAGTTTTAGCTAAGAACGAGTCTCGGAAATCTTTAGTGTACCATTGGTTCTTGTGGATCGACCCCGTATATACTGCCTTGCGGTTAAGTGTATCGGGTAATTACTCGAGCAATCAGCTTTGAGGAACATGCAAAAGTTTTTAACCTTAATAATGCATGGTCTTTTATATAACATGCAAAAAGGTAATAACGTATATATTGTTTTGAAAAAACTAGTAGTTACAACTTTATGTGCTCATTTAGTTTGGTCCATTGAAATATAAGCTCATAAAAA